TTTTATTTTTAATTATTGTGGGTACATAATAGTAATATATATTAATGGGGTATGTGTGATGCTTTGATACAGGCATATACTTTTAAATAACAAAAGAGTAGAATGGGAATGTTCCTAACACAAAGCAATGATAAATGCCCTCTATTCATTTTTAAAGTTAAACTCATCATTTAAATTCTTGCCACAAGGAAACTTCAGGTCCAGGCACCACTGTGTATTTATTCAAACATTTAAGAAAAATATTGTTCAAACATTTAAGAAAAACATAATGCCAACCGTCTTCTAGATGATGTAAGAATATGGAATGATTCTCAACCCATAAGACTGACATTACACAAACCTGGAAGTGGTATTGAAAGAAAAATCACAGACCAGTCACCCTTATGAACATGCAGACAAAAATTCTAGGATGAAAGCACCTTTCGGAGTGGACTAGCGTTTGCTTCTGCCTGGGGTCCGGAGCACAATTCCTCCCAAACCACGTTAGATTCAGTTCCTCTGGCTTGCGGTGTCTGGGTGAATAGGAACGCAGGCTGCAAATCTCAGCTGCAGTTTCCTCTGAAATGTGTCTCTCTTCTGACATCTTGTGGATGAATTTTCTTCCTTTTCTTTTACCTCCTACTATTTGGATTGTGTGTAAGTGCTTTTTAACTTTTTATCTGTATAAAATCTTGGATTTGTGGAAAAGTTGCAAGAACAATACAAATAGCTCCCATGTGTAGCCTTACCCAGAAGCCCCAAACGTCGACATGTTATCACATTTACTGTTTTTAAAGTTCCCTTTTCTTCCTTCTCCTCCTACCCCTCCTTCTCCTTCCCTCCCTCTCTCTCTCTCTCTCTCTCTCTGTAATTTTTCAGAACCCTTTGAGAGTAAGTTGCATTGAAGATCTGGTCCCTCCGTACCTCTAGAAATTCAATATTTCCCGAAAACATGAACGTTGTTTCACATAACCACAGCACAATTCATCACAAGCACTAATACAATAATTTATCAAATCGACAGGATTCATTCCTATGTCGATAATTACACCAATAATGTCATCTATAGGCAAAGAAAATCCCAGATCACCCATTATCATTGGTCGACATGTCTTTTTAGCCTGGACCATTTCCTAGACTTTCTTTCTACCTTACGGCGTTGACATCGTTGAAGGGCACAAGTTAGATTTTGTGTAGAACATCCCTCAAGCTCAGTTCGCCTGACATTCCCTACTCTTTGGATTGAAATCCTGCATCTTTGGCAGGAATCCCGCAGAAGTGAAGTTGTGTGCTTTTCAGTGAATCCTATCAGAAAGCACATCATATCGATATGTGCTTTTTGTCCCATTACTAAAGCTCCTTGACCACCCAAAGGGGTTGTTATAAAATGGATACTTAAGAAAAACAATTGGGTCTGGGCACGGTAATTCTAGCACTTTAGGAGGCTGAGGCGGGAGGATCGCTTGAGGCCAGAAGTTTGAGACCAGCCAGGGTAACATAGCAAGACCCCATCTCTGCAAGAAAGTTGTTTTAAAAAAGTTAGCCAGGCACAGTGGCGCACGCCTGTAGTTACAGCAAAAAGCACGGCCAACGTTTCTGTTTTACAGAGGATGCCTGTTTGATGCTAACTGATGTCGTTGCTCTTGTCTCTTCTTTTGTGGACACTTCAGCTTCATGGAAGCAGAAAACCAAACAGTAGTCATAGAGTTCATCCTCCTCGGACTCTCCGAAGATCTAGAGCTGCAGCCCATCCTCTTCGGGCTGTTCCTGTCCATGTACCTGGTCACGGTGCTGGGGAACCTCCTCATCATCCTGGCCGTCGGCTCCGACACCCACCTCCACACCCCCATGTACTTCTTCCTCTCCAACCTGTCCTTTATCGACGTCTGTTTCAGCACCAGCATAATCCCCAAGATGCTCGTGGACATCCAGACAGGGAGCAGAGCCATCTCCTACAGGGACTGCCTCACTCAGGTGTATTTTACCATGTTTTTCCCCATCCTGGACACCCTCCTCCTGACCGCGATGGCCTATGACCGGTTCGTGGCCATCTGCCACCCCCTGCACTACACGGTCATCATGAACCCCCGCCTCTGCGCCCTGCTGGTTTTTGTCACCTGGTTCATTGGCGTCATGACGTCCCTTCTCCATATTTCTCTGACAACACGTCTGACCTTCTGCAAAGATCTTGACATTCCACATTTTTTCTGTGAACTGACGCAGATCCTCAAGTTGGCCTGCTCCGACACCTTCCTCCACAGCCTGCTGATATACATTATGACTGGCGTGCTGGGTGTTTTTCCCCTTCTTGGGATCCTTGCGTCTTACTCGCGAATTGCTTCGTCCATAAGGAAGATGTCCTCATCGGGGGGGAAGCAAAAAGCCTTTTCCACCTGCGGGTCTCACCTGTCCGTCGTTTCTTTATTTTATGGGACGGGCGTTGGGGTCTATTTCACTTCTGCGGTGACTCACTCCTCCCAGAAGATCTCGGTGGCCTCGGTGATGTACACGGTGGTCACCCCCATGCTGAACCCCTTCATCTACAGCCTGAGGAACAAGGATATGAAAGGGGCCCTGGGAAGACTGCTCGGCAAAGCAGCCTCCTGTCTGTGATGTATCCATGGACCCCACGACCGAGAAGATTTGTGGACACCAAATGGAACACACACACAAAAACCCCTTTTATCTTACTCTTGACTTTCTCAGTCCATCTTGTTCTTTCACCCAATCCTACGGGGTCTATGACTTTGCTCTTTCCTAGTTTTCACACACTTTTTCATAACGAATCTTCCTGTAATTTCTTTGATGACATATATGCCCTATCTATTGTCCAAAAACATTGCCTTTGGTCATCTTTCTTACTTCCACACTGGTGCATTTTGAACTTGGGTTGGAAGCGTTTACTAATAGCTTGGTTATCTCAAATGGTGGCAGAGAGTTCTTAAACTCATTTATTTCTGTGGGTTTGCATGTGGATTTGTGTTGTTCGTGTGTGTGTGTGTTATCAACAGTGTTTTTATTTTTTACTGGATAAAATATGATTAAAATACATATTAAAATATAGATGACATTTTAGTGTTTATTATGTATTAATTCTGTGTTAAGTGCTCTCTATATATTATCTTGTATGATTTCCCCAATGAGAATGGTTACTACCACCATTATAGACGTGAGGAAATGAGGCTCAAAGAACTAAAAACAAACAAACAAAAACTATTCCAAAGTTACAGAGAGACGGAGTGGGAAAACCAAGATTCAAACCCAGAACTCTGATCCTGAGCCCATGTTATTTTGTTTTTATAGAGACCAGGTATTACTCTGTTGTTTAGGCTGAAGTGCGGTGGCACAATCATAGCTCACTGCAGGCTGGAAATCCTGGGCTCAAGCGATCCTCCTGCCTCAGCCTTTCAAGTAGCTGAAACTACAGGCATGCACCACCATGCCTGACTAATTTTTATTATTTTTTGTAGAGATGGGGTCTTGCTATGTTGCCCAGCTTGAACTCCTGACCTCAAACGATCCTCCCACCTCAGCCTCCCAAAGTGCTGGGGTTACAGGTGTGAGCCACTGTGCCTGGCCCTCATTTAACTTTAATTACCTCCCTAAAGTTCTTCTTATCTCCAAAAACAGTTGTCACATTGGGGGTTAGGGCTTCAATATATTAATTTTGGGGGGCACACAATTCAGTCCAGAACAGATGGTTTTGCAGATCTGCGAAACTTTCAGCCAACTCAGAAGGGAACTCTGGAGCAAGGGTTGCTCTTTGAAGAAGTCCCACATTGGGTAGAAATGACCAAGCCCTATTAGCCCAGGAACAGTGTGGCCTTGAGAATTGAGGTAGATCCTGAAAGTGATAACAGCTGGATGCTGTCTTCCAACTCTGCAGTCTCCAACCCCTGGTCCATGGACCAGTACCAGTCCGTGGCCTGTTAGGGACCAGGCTGCAGAGCTCAGTGCACCCCACCCATCCCCACCTACATTATGGAAAAATTGTCTTCCATGAAACTGGACGCTGGTGCCAAAAATGTTGGGGCCCACTGAAACTGGATTCCTTCTAACTGAATGGCAAATTGTTTCTTAAAGAGAGATTTGGGCATCACACCTTCTTGGCTACCGTATTTATTCTAGTGGCTATTCTAGAAAAATGATCTATGCTGGACTTCACCATTTCTTATTAACTAGAAGTTACTTGTTTCTTAAATTTTTTTTTTTTTTAAAAGAACATGACTGTTAATACCAGTTTGATGGTGAGTACATATGGTGCTTGTCTTTCCATTCTTGGGATACCTCACTTAGTAGAATGCGTTCCAGCTCTATCCAGGAGTATACAAGAGGTGCTATATCACCCGAAGGAT